TCTATTCTATTCTATTCTATTCTATTCTATTCTATTCTATTCTATTCCTATTTTATTCTGACTATCGCTAGCTGTTGTATCTTATGATTCTTGATGAATGTATTTTATTTTTTATCTTATGTACACCAAGAGCATTTGCACCAAAGACAAATTCTTTGTGTATCCAATCACACTTGGCCAAGAAAGAATTCTATCTATCTATCAATAGAGTCCAGAGATATTTCACAAGAAGAGTCCTCCACTTCTCTACTCGTAGCAGAATACCTTGTGCCTCCAGGCTTGAAATTTTAGGATTGGACAACCTAGAACTACACCACCTTCAGTCCGACCTAAGCATAGTACATAAAATTATCCATTACAATGTCCTATCCGTCAATGACTACTTCAACCACAACAATACACAAGCACACAATAGACACAAACTCAGGGTAAACTGCACCAAACTCGATTGCAGGAAGTACGACTTCAGCCAGAGAGTGGTCAATGCCTGGAATACTCTACTTGACTTTATGGTTTCTTCCCAAAATCCCAAACACTTTAACCTCAGACTGTCTACTATTGACCTCCCCCCATTCCTAAGAGGTCTGTAAGGGGCGTGCATAAGCACACCCAACATGCCTACCGTCCCTGTCCTAATGTTCCCTTTTATTCTTATCCATTTCATGTATTCATAATCATGTTTATACTTATACCTGTTATCTAATCCACGCTCGACTAGACAGAGACAGATAGACAGACAGACAGATATAGCTGATAGATACATCTAGCTGAAATAGATGAAGAGGGAAGGAGGGAGGGAGGGAGAGAGAAAGAAAGAGAGAGGATCCTTTTGGAGTTTTCACAGCGTTGGGCGGTGCTGAAGTGAAGAATTGAGGAGCCAGGGGAAAAAAACAGCAAGGCCCTGATTCGATCCCAGCCTTAATTCTTAGAATCTCAACTTTAAAATTCATCATGAATCCGTTTGATGGGCCTGTGGGCCGAGAGGCAGGCTGGCACAAGTGAGAGAGAGAACCTTTTCTTTCTGGGTAAGCTAGCTGCGAGGAGGCATGTTAAGGTGGAACAAGCAAGGAAGATATCACTGGGTGACCACCTCCCTTTCCAAGAGTATCTGTAGCTCTGTGGGGTCCCTGGTGCTCTCTGAGCTGGGTGGTTTTCTTGCAGATGTTACATGACACAACTAGGTAACATCATTAGTGCTAGAAGAGTTTCCAGGGACGAGGAGGAAGAGGAGGACTGTGGGCTCCTTGGTGCTCTCTTAGTTTCGGAGTTTCCTTGCAGATGTCTCGTAACCAAACTAGGTAACAGTATCAATGATAGAAGGGAGTAGGGTTTGCTTCTGGCACTGATGGGGTTATCTAGTTGGATAAGAAAACATCTGCAAGTAAACAACCAAGCTCCAAGGGCACCAAGGAGCCCACATTCCTCCTCCTCCTCCCCTGGCCACCAATCCTACTCTCTTCTAGCACTGATGGCGTTCCCCAGTTTGGTAATGAAACGTCAGCAAGAAAAAAACTAAGTTCAGAGAACACCAAGGGCCCCACAGTCCTCCTCCTCTCCATACCCCCCAGCACTGATGATGTTACCTAGTTGGGTCATGAAACATCTGCAAGAACATTCCCAAGCTCAGAGACCCTCATCTCTGCAAACCCCACTCCTTCTAGCACTGATGATGTTGCTTAGTTGGGTCATGAAACGTCTGCAAGAAAACCATCAAGCTCAGAGACCACCAAGGACCCCAGTCCTCCTCCTCCACCTTTCAGCTTTGATGATGTTATCTAGTTGGGTCACAAAAACGTCCGCAAGAACGCGGCCAAGCTCAAAAAACACCACAGACCTCCTCCTCTTCCTCCTTCTCCTCTCCACACCCTTCCAGCACTGATGCTGTTACCGTGTTGGGTCACCAGAGGTCTGCAACAACACCCCCCAAGCTCAGAGACTCCCCCCTCAAGCCCCCCCCATCCCACCCACCTCCTCTCATTTCCCAAGCGGCTTCCTTACAACTTGCCCCCCACCCTTCTCAGCCTACTAGCCCACTACTCCTTCCCCCCAAGAGCCAGCCGGGCGGAGTAGCGCATGCAGAGGTTTAACGCGAGGTGGGGTCCCCCTCCTCGCCTTCAAAAGACCCCCCCCCCCCCGCGTCCGGCATGCTTACAAGCGCTCCAGCCCAATACGGCGTCTCCCGGAGCAGCAGCGAAGGGCTGGAGTTGGCCATCAGGAAGGCCAGGACAGTGATGGAGACGCCCAGGACCAGCTGCATCAGAGCCAGCAGCAGCGGGAACCGGCAACCGCAGCACGTGTGAACGTCCTCTTCCTTGCCCGCCTTGTGGGCCTCCTCGCCCGGGTCCGAAGGGCCTTGGGGGCTCTTCTTGCCAGGGGCGGCCACCCCCGCTTGCTGTTTGCCAGGCGGGTCGGGAGCTGCTTTCGTTTTGGAGCCCATTCCGACGACCTCTCACCCGGCCGAACGCGTGTCGCCGCCGCCGCTCTCCCTTCCCCTCCGGGCAGCCCTCCGTTCGGCTGCTCGGCTTTGAACAAATATGGGAAAACCCTTCGGAGGGGCTGTCGCCCTTTCCCAACCCCGCATATATAGACGGTGAGAAGAGGCGGGGGGGTGTCGAGGGGGGTAACGGAGGGACGGCCGACAGGCACGGTTACCCCGGCTGGGGCGTTGGTCAGCGGGCTCCGTTTGGAGCCGGGCAGGCTTTGGCACGTGAGAACGCGCGTTACGGGAGGGGCAGGATGTAAGCAGGGCTAGAAGACCTCCGAGATACCTTCCAACTCTGTTGTTCTGCTTTCCTTCCTTCCCTCCCTCCCTCTCTTTCTTTCTTTCCTTCTTTCTTTCTTCCTTCCTTTCTTTTCTTCCTTCCTTCCCTCCCTCCCTTTCTTTCTTCCCTCCCTCCCTCTCTCCTTTACTTTTTTCTTTTCTTCCTTCTTTCTTTTCTTCCTTCCTTCCCTGCCTCCTTTTCTTTCTTCCTTCCCTCCCTCCCTCCTTTCCTTTCTTCCTTTCTTCCTTTCTTCCTTCCTTCCTTCCCTCCCTCTCTCCTTTTCTTTTTTCTTTTCTTCCTTCCTTCCCTCCCTCCTTTTCTTCCTTCCTTCCTTCCCTCCCTCCCTCCTTTTCTTCCTTCCTTCTCTCCCTCCCTCCTCTTTCCTTCTTCCTTCCTTCCTTCCTTCCTTCCTTCCTTCCTTCCTTCCTTCCTTCCTTCCTTCCTTCCCTCCTCTTCTTCCTTCCTTCCTTTTTTCCCTCCCTCCCTCCTCCTTCCTTCCTTTTTCCTCTATCTCTGGAGGTTTTCAAGAAGAGACTTGACAGCCACTTGTCTGGAATGGTAAAGGGTATTCCTGCCTAAGCAGGGGGCTGGACTAGAAGACCTCCAAGGTCCCTTCCAACTCCTATTCACACAGACAGATTTTGTCCTTTGTTTAGCTAAAGTAGTGATGTTATATCTTACTTTTTATTTTCAAGATAACGACCTCCTGTTTTGATTTGACTTCACTTTTCTCTCTTTTAAAAGGGGGATGAGGTTTTATAAAATCAATTCGGCTGGGATGTAGGAAATTTTTTTGTTTTTAATCCTGTGGCCATATGTATGGATCGATCCGATTGCTTCTGACGTCGCTTCACCAAAATCTAACTTCAAACAACCTTGGCGGTTTGTAGAGATTCTCCTTCATCCAGGCCCTGGTTGTCCCAAAGGGGATTTTTTCAGGAGGCAACTGGACTTTATTGTTTTTTTTTTTCTTTTAAAGACGTTTTGCTTCTCTTCCAAGAAGCTTCTTCAGCTCTTTTTCAAGAGGCAACTGGACTATCTTATTGTCCCTTGAAGATGTTTCGCTTCTCCTCCAAGAAGCTTCTTCCGTTCTGACTGGATGGTGGGAGAATGGAAGGATTTACATTCCTTGCAGACTGCTGGTCATTTGCATCCTTTTAAGAGAGTCATTGAGGCCACTTGAAGGTTTGTCTGTGTCCTCAGGGTCACAGGGTCACCTAAATCCTTCCATTCCCCACCATCCGGTCAGAGCTGAAGAAGCTTCTTGGATGAGCAGTGAAACGTCTTCAAAAGAAAAAACAAAAAAGGCCAGTTGCCTTTTGAAAAAGCACTTTTGGGACAACCAGGACCTGGATGACGGAGAACCTCTATGGACTTTTAGCTACACAATTTGGGATGAACATCCTTTGAATGGTGTGGGAGCAGGAATGGATTTCCAGAGGGAAAAAATGGCAGACTACAGGAACCATTAGCACCACTTAGCTGACCCTGAGGATACAGACAAACCTCCAAGTGGCCTCAACAACCCTCTAAAAAAGGATGCAAATGACCAGCTGTCTGCAAGGAGTATCAATCCTTCCCTTCCCCAACATCCAGTCAGATTGGAAGAAGCTTCTGGGATGAGAAGTGAAATGTCTTCAAAAGAAAACAAAACAAAACAGGAAAATCCAGTTGCTTCCTGAAAAAAAAACACCTTTGGGACAACACTTCTGGTTGTCCCAAAGATGCTTCTTTTTTGAAGAGTGAAAATATCCATATATAAACCTTTGTGGTTGGTTTACTGTGAAAAGGAGGGATTACTTTAATCCTGTCCAACCAACTTTCATTTTTTTCTTTGTTATGTTATAAAAGGGGTGTCTCAAGTTTTGCAGCTAGAAGGTTTATCTATCTATCTACCTACCTACCTATTTACCTTCCTACCTACAGTATCTATCTAATCTACCTACCTACCTACCTACAGTATCTATTTATTTATCTATCTACTTACCTACCTATTTACCTACCTTCCTACCTACCTACCCACAGTATTTTATCTATCTAATCTACCTACCTACCTACAGTATCTATCTATCTATCTATCTATCTATCTATCTATCTATCTATCTAT